CGTTCAGGAGACGAGGGAAAACTCAGCTGCTTAATTACCCTCACCCTTTTTCTCCCCCTCCCCCCTCCCTGATCTGGCGATTAATAAACGCTGTAATTAATGACCAATTTTATTCCCCATGTCATATACTGGCCTGACGATGAATGACCGAAAACGATCGTTTGCCAACACGATTTTTCAAAGTTAAGGCTCTTACGACCTTGGGGGTTTTAATCAGTGCCTAGACTGGCTTCAGCTAAACTCAGCATTCTGAAAGTTGCGATTGCAGATCAGTGGACTGGGAACCACAGCTTAGGTGTTTTCTTTTCAGACTTGCAAATCAGCCCGCGAATAATCATCTGAATCAGCCGTGGCTGAAGTTTCATCAACTGATTGCAATCAACTGGTCTCGGCATAACTTGGACCGCCCAAGAGGGAACAGTTAATTGACAATTCGTGGGTTAGGACCCCACCAGAGGCGTAAAAACCACAATAATCTACCCTTTCATGCCTAAACAAAAAAGACATGCCCCCTTCAACCCAATTATACGAAGCTGAGTAGCTCAGCCGGCGAGGAAAATTTGGCGCTTTGGTGGGCGACAATTATCTCACCGAAAAATTATCAGTCAATCATTTTTGCCCACAATTAATTGCTGTTTAACTGCCAGAAAGAGGGCTTTCGCTTATCGAGGCTGGGAATTTGACCCTGCGCTGCGCATAGGACTTAGATAGAAAAAATATTTCGTGTCCAGGACTTCGCGGGCATGCGCACAATGACGCGTGTCTACAAAAAGACATAGTGAAATCTGCCAGTGGCCTGGGTTTCCGATGCCAGGCCTCTAACTAATATGGTCGCCGGCTCGAGCCTTGGCTATTGTTACCTCTGGGGTTGGGTATAGCTAACTGATGAAGGCCAATAAGCCAGATGTAGCCATTCAAGTCTCCCTTGTCTTTGTCGATAATTTATTTCTGCCTATTATATTTATGTTGGCCGTGGAGCGGCCGCTGTTGGAACTCGAGAACGAGCCCCTAGGCACATAGGCACGAGTGCGTTCCGTAACTGATCGGTGACCGCCTTTCTACCGTTTCAACATCCTACCACTGTACGCTTGAAGGGCGTTCACTGATCAGATCACGGAACATGCCCTTTACGTCGCGGTCCAAGGCTCAACCTTCAGCCCTCGCAAACAGTCGCATGGCAACAAATAATTAGGCCAACAGAACGGTACCGACAAAGACAGAGGGATCTAGCATGGCCATGGCTGACTTATCAACCGTCGCACTTTCGAAATATAACATCAAGAGATGCGAAGACGTTCACCGAAAGAGAGTTTATTGGCTGCCCAAAGTTTCAGCCAACCATGTGGGCTATCCAAGTCCGGGGACTGAAGATTCCTCTACAAAATTCATATTGTGAGACACTTTATGAGCCACGCAGAGGATAATAAATCGGTCTCCGAGCATGCTGAGAGCTGATACGACTAGAATGAAAACCAGGCAGCCAATAGCCCCCTGCCGGTGAATGCATCTGCATCTTCTGAGCATGTGCTGGACAGAAGGAATTATAGGACAAGTTAGGATCGGTCTCCTATCACGGGGTGTGTGCATTTTTCCTCAGGACTTTCCACCGCAGCTTAAATCACTCAACTTAACACCGAAATACCAATTTTCAGCCAATTAGACCAATTTAATTCACAGTGTGATGGACGGGTGCCCTTCTGGAGGTTTCGAGGACCTACCGAGGGGTGTTAAGGCTAGTGAAGTTCAACCCTAATGGCTGCGATTTTGGAGGCGCGGTTCCTTAGGAGATGAGAGAGAGGTCTTGGGAAGGCCAGATTAGTAGGAATAATAGATTCTTTACAGAATGAATTGGAGAAGAGGCAGCAGAAAAATGACAGGCGTTCACAAGTACACTTCATGTTGAGTCAGTCACTACAGACCCCTGCAACGGGCACCCTGCACTCCCGATTGTGACCGACAATAAAATGGGCCCGTGGCTAGATGGCCCGGGGTTGAGATTTAGAAAAACCCTTCTTCGTATACCTGGTTACCTACCCTTGGAGTTGAGTATGGCTAGATCAAAAGGCTAATAAACTAGAAATACACCTTAATACACCTTCATATAAAGGAATTGGTATCAAGTGCAGTCGACCTACATCTCCTGCATGTCCACAAGGAAGAACACTCCATACGGTCGTATACTTTCGGCCAAGCAGTCGAGGGAGGTAAAAAGTCACTAGCAACAGAGTTCTTTCATAGGATACAAATATAATGTACAGACTTCTCGTAAATTCTCTCGCCATTGGCCAAACGGAAGCGAAGATATGCCAAAAAAAAGCAATTGGACTTGGCAGAGTTCAAATGGTTCATAACAAAATATAGAGAACGATTATACGAGCAGTAGCGACTTTTTGGAGGTCTATAAGAAGACGGGTACCTCAAGATTTATACACCAGAATTCCAGTAAATGTATATATGTATCCTAAGTATGCTAATATCGACAAACTAAAGCCTCCCACAGCCTTGGAGATTTAATAGATTCCCAG